CCCTTTGAGAGGGGGGCGCTGTCTTTGGCAACTGTTTCACTGCGTTTGAGGCTCGGGTTCTTTTGAGATGTCTCGCTATTTTTCAGATGTCTCACACCTGAATGGATCAACCATTTTGGGCTGATGGAATTGGATGTTCGCAATCGGCCCAGACGCCAATGGGAGGGAAGCTGAACTTAGGCGACTTCCAGATGGGCACCTTCTGCTGCAAGAGGTGCCACTGGACGACGTTGCGCCCAAGACGCAGCTGCCTGGATGAGAAGAGAGGGTCATTTTGATGTCCTTGAAACTTTGGGGAAAACAGACAGGAGACTGACCATTTCCAGTGTTCCCCTGGTGCAAGGCAGGACTGTCCTTCAAGAGCTTTCAAGAGCATAATAGGAGATTACCTACTATAGTGGCGAAACGCCCCAAGACACTGGGACAGAGCAAATCATGTTCCACATCATCAATTTTGCTTGGTGCTTCCACTCTATTCTCAGTGAGCTGTTGCCTTTGTCACTAGATGCACGTGTGCTACATCTGAAGGCTCGCTGCCAAGTGTCGCAGCTGACTCGCGTTGCTTGCCTTGCTTGGCCTACTTGCCTTTCGCAGTCTCCTTGTTTTGTTTGGTTTGTTCGGTTGCTACTCTTTCCTGTCAATGCGACACCGTCACAGACGGACCTTGGGAGCCGTGGTTGCGCCTTGAACCCAGCCGAGACTTGTGCCACGGGCACGCCTGCGAGAAGCGGAGAGCTGATGCCTCGGCGGTGCGGCCGGAGAAGTGCGTGGCTCCCTTGGAGCCGATCGACCACAGGGGCATCGGCTTAGAGGCCTGGAGTTGCAGAATCCACGCCGATCGGCAGCAGCTAGGATGGAAGCCCCGATATTTTTGCTTTAGTGTTTTTTTTTGGGGGGGCTCATCTATGTTCGGCCAGTTCATTCATCACCTTTTGGACCAACTTCAGCTTTGGCGGGATTGACGGGGAATTGCGGGCAACCCTATTCCATGGCAAGGTCCCGGCCCATTTTGTAGGCCAGTCAACAAGGCAGCAGCAACCCTCTTCCGACCATGTAAGTAGGGATTTTGCGAGTGTGTGTCCAGAGGATCAAGGGTCCGCTTTCGAAGGGGTTGCTCAAAACAGGACCGTTTTTTGTTACGTTATGTGCAAAGTGGGCAGGGCCCCCAAAAGTGCTTGTCAGCCACGGTGCAAGAGGAACCCTTCGCGGGAAGCTGTCGTTGTTGCCTTCGTGCTTTTGAAAGCACCATCAATCTTAGGATGATCGTCTAGAACGCCCACCTCTCATTATTAAACACTGACAACAGGGTCATTGGGATGAAGCACGGGTACACGTGCCGCCAAAGAAATTGGGGGAATGACTGCTGTGTGAGTTGTTTGTTTGCATCTCATGACTTGCGACCTTCGTCCCTTAGGCCGAATAAAAGCTTCTACACATTCTTCAAATCAGTAGCTCAAAAGAGGGTTGAAGTCTGTGTGTGTGCGGGCATGCTCATCTACGTGACTTCTTGCTGGTGTCAACTTGGGCATTTGAATTTGTCACCCTTCAGAGAGGCAGCCCAGTTCACACGGTTAGGTGACGATCGCAGGTAAATGGTTCTTGACGTGTTCATCGAGGGCAACCAAGACGTGCGGAGAAGACTAGCCAGAGGCCGCAACTAAGTACATAGGCGCAAACATGAGGTTGTGGACACAAACACAAGGTTGTGGACCGTCAATTGAGCGAATCTTTGCTTTTGACTCCGCAAATTGAACAGAGCCATCGGCAGAAAGTCTGAAGCTCACTTCTGAGTTTCCACCACTTTTCCATTGCATAGTGGCGCTGCTGATGGTGCTTTGGTGCTGGTGCTTTGTGCGTTCATCCGGAAGAACGCGCTTGCTTCTCGCAAGTTTGTTGCGAGTGCCGCCAGTGCTTGGCCAGTATCCTCTGCCAAGACAGCCTCACGCATGAATGTGCTTTCCTACGGGATTTCTCAGCCGGTGACTCGCAGGGTTTTTTCATGGGCGCAGACATCCTCCCAGTTGTTCTCTCTTAAGATCCCGTGTTGGGTTACCAAAATTGAGCTCAACCGCAAGAGATGGCTCCCACGCTCTTTTGCCTGGGTCGGCTGCAACTGAGAGCAGAATACCGGCTTCGGCAGGCCCCGGCGAAGCGAAGGCGCAGGGGGGCACGCGCCAGAAGTTTGGGGTGGCTTTGCGGGAAGCCGAAGCACCTCCCGGCATTTTGGGGGTCCCGCTACTTTGAGACACATATTTAGTCCTGTCTAAGCCGCTAACGAAAATCAATGCTCAGTAGCGGGGATGGTTTAGGGGCAATTATGGGGAAAACTGTTCGCTACTTTGAGAAATATATTTAGTACTGTCTAAGCCAATTAACGAAAATGGATGCTCAGTAGCAGGGATGGTTTAAGGGCAATTATCTGTTCTGTGAGGCTGGCCAAGAATGAGACATCGTGTTTTGGTGGCTGTTGCGATCTCTGCTTGGAAGATGGCACAGCGGGCTTTTTGGACTGCAGCTCCCGCGGAGTTGCTCTGATTTTGGAGCCAAGTGTGTAGGCTGAAGCGCTTTGCTGATGCTTGGCGGCTCTTACGAGTGTGCTTCCTTCGCTTGGGTGGTCAGCTCCTGTGTGAGAATTATGTTGCTTCTCAGCTCAGGGCAGTTAGGTTTTGTGCGTGTTCGAGAGTCTGTTGATGATTGAATTGCTTGCCAGTTGGAATGGGATGAAGATGGGGGAGTTGGCGAGGGATGGGCGTCCTAAGTCCTAAGCATTTCAGCTTTGTGTTTCTTATTTTCTAGGTTTTCAATTATGGTTTATTCTGATTTCCTATACCCAGTTGCCCAGTGGTGCCATTTTTTCCTTATTTTGGGGGTTCTCGTCAAAAACTCAACCAACTCTGGCTATAGTGGTGACAGGGCGGTTGATGCCATCTGTGGGTAAGCCAACACTTTGTGTTGGCGAACTCCAGGCGTTCGCCGTCGAGGTCCTTGTCCCCGGAGAGGACCACCCCGGCGGTTTCCTCGCCCATCACCCCGCCAGGCAATGCAGCCGGTTGGTTTTCGGCTGCCTTTTGTGGTTGTTTTCAAGGAAAGCTGAAAGAACTAAAACCATTTTTTGGGTTTCCCTATTTTTGAACTTTGCGGTGGGAGACAAACATGGCCAAGCCGCCTTTCCCAGCTGCTCCTGCAGGGTGTGGCGATCCAGTTTCTCAAAACCAATGTTTTTGTTGGTGGTAGAACATGCTTGTCTGGATCTGGCTTGTGACTGGCCTCCGTTGAGTTTTGACCACAGGATTTGCAGGTTCTTTTCAGGGGTGATTTTCTGAGGCTACTGCCACTCAGCAGCTGGGGTTCAGTGGCAAAGGCATAGTTCCTCTTTGGACCCACGGCTCTCCACAAAGGGCCCTCATACATTCATTCAAAGTTGGGCGGATCACTCTCAACGCAACAGCTGCAAATATGAGCTCCTCAAGAACAACGTGGACCACCTTCTGGTTGGTGTGTCCAGGCCAAGCCAAAGGAGGTCTGTAGGGGGCGCGTTAGACGTGTTTTGGTTGTCTTTGAGTCCAGGCGATGTGGATTCAACTTCCTCCTCGAGCGAGGCTCCGCAAGGCCTGTGCGGCTACTTGTCTTGCGCCCCACCGAAGGTTCTATGTGGATGGGAGGAGGCCCGCTGGGGCTTGTTTTGAAACAGGAAGCCGGCAACTCAGCCAGGCAAGCTCACAACCAAGCCCAACACAGTATAAGCCCAAACCCTCAGCAAACCCAAATACAACTCCCACATCAAGCTTGTTCGCGCATAGTGATTCTAAGTCACTCCATCTTGGCCCTCAGCTCACCACAAGACACAAGCGCTATTTCCAACTTGAAATCGATCATGAAGTGAATGAAGGGAGATCACGTGGTGAAGTGACAAGTTTTGAATGATGACCGCCTTTTTCATTGGCTACCCGCTAGAATGGCATGTGCATTTGGCAAGGTTGCGCAGACCATGTTTCCTTGCGGAACAGCAGAGGGAACATGACTTATTGATTGTGGTTGTCCCCACATGGATGGCCCCTTTCTTCGTTCGCAATTGGAACGTTGTGCCGACCGAACCAAGCCTTGGAGGTCTTCGCGGATTTTTAAACAATGGCTGATTTTCAACATGCGCGGGGGGGTCTTCTCTGAATGGCGTCCAAAGGGATCGTGTTCAGAGAAGATAGCTCACTTCCTCATGGAATTCAAAGGGAAAACTAAGCAGAGTTGCAAACGCTTGGCTTTTCTACCCCAAAAAAGGGATTCTATTCAACTACTTGAGACGCATCAAGCCCCTTGTCTAGGGAAAAGCGCCTTCGTTTAGAAGAGGTTCGTAGACGGGTTCGGAGTGCTGTCTTGGCGGGTAGGGGGGGCTCCTTGACGAGAGTCTGAGCTGCAGGTGGCCAATCAGGTGCGGGGCCCTGATGATTCTGGATTTGAACAACTTGGGCATAGGGAGGTTTGCCCGTTTTTTTGTGCCTCATTTTTTGGAGAGGCCCCACTTGCGAGCGCCCACATCCCCAATTCAGGCGGAAACGCTTGATTTTTGTCGGGCCCAGATATCGCCCCGTTGGCTGCAAATGGCAAACATGGATCGACCAATTGTGCTGCCCCAGGGCACCCCTTCTCGATCGAAAGGCCCCGCTGTTTTGTGTTGTTGTGTTGCATGTCATGTGGCTTTTGGCAGTTTCATCCAACAAGGGCAACTCATCCTGTCAAGCTGATTGACCTACAGTACTCAAAGGTGACTTCTAGGCTTTACAGACTGCTTGGTTCCAACATGCTACTCGCAGGGGACAACCTACGTTGCCGGACCAGGCTGCCAGATTTGAATTCGAGGCGGCGCCCCAAACCTGATTTTCCAGCCCAATCAGTGTGTCCATGGGTTCTTTCCCCTCTTTGGACTGCCCCCTCAGCGCAAAAAATGTCAGCATGACTCACATGGCGGTTGAGCCCCGAACGTGGCCCCCAGGTGACCCACGCGGATGGCAGGATCACGGCTGCACGTGGAGGCGACTTGGTCGGATTCTCACTAACTAAACGGCACGGATGGTTGCCAAATGTTTGCAGAATGGTAGATGTCGGTTGTGTTCCTTGTTCCTTTCTTGGGACATAGTTTGGCCGGGCTGGCGCGCCTTCTCTTTGGTTTCTCTTAAAACATCCCCAGGAAGGCAGCCTCAAGAAGAGTGGCGCTGGGAGGTAATCGATGTTGCTGAACGCGAAGCAACTGTTCAACTTCTGGGATACCAAGCTTAAGGCGAAGACAACGAGTTGAACTTCTGCTTTTGACGGATTCTGGCTGCTTCATGGTACGTGATTGTTTCTATGGGTCAATTGGTCCAGCATCTGGTTCATGTCAATTTGTTCATCTCGACGGGCATGCTTCGGGGTTCGAATGCGTGTTTTGGCCGAGGGGTCATAGGCCGACTAACATGCCAACCTCTCATCATGCCACGGGCAGAAGGCTGCCCAGTTACTGGTCGACGTTAGTTCCCTCTCTGGGGGCTGCAAAACACAACGCTTTTGCTAAGATATCAGGAGTTGACAACCCCGATCCCCCCTCAAAGACTAATTGCAGTCTTGGGACGCAGTTGGGCCTTTTCATTGGGGCTTATTCCATTTGACAACTTCTTTACTGGCCTTATATACTTTAGCAAGGCTTATTCTGCCTTAAACCCCCCCCCTCCCGGCTTCGCCCCTGGAGACATTGCAGGCTGACAGATGTTGGCGACCTGCACGTGCTGGAGGTCAGCAACAACTTCTCCGCCAGCATGGGTGACCAGCTTCTTCTTTGTTGGGGTGGAGACCCCCGCCCAGCAAAATAGCAGGTTGATCGAATCAATTACCCTCTCACCAACGAACACGGAATCTGGAAGTGCAAGTTGGGGTTCCTTGTTGCTTGCTTTGGTTCCACAAATTGTGGGCTCCCAGTTTTCATGGCCAAAACAGGCGACCAGTGTCTCGTTTGTGCTAAATGGTGGATAAAAGTTTGAGATGAACCGGCAACATGAGCCCAGAGCTCTACAGGCATCCAGGGTTCCATACCGCGAAGTCTTGCATTTTGGTTTCTCCTAGTTACATGTGCCACGGTCGCAATCCTGCTCACTTGGAGTACCCTTTAGTTGGGATTTGAGACAACCGTTGCAAGGCTTTGCAGGGAGGCGTGCCCATGTCGCATAGTTTTGGAGTTCTTTGCCTCGCACCGCAGGAAACCATAGGGGAAACCAGTCAAGGCCATAGGTAAGGGGAAACCATCATGCAAGACCTTGTCACAAGGACCTGGAGGTAAGACACCACATGGGGCCGGCTGTGGTCCTCCAGGTACCATCATCTACGCAGGCACGGCGCAGTGGTGGCGCCCGGAGGTGAAGCAGCCACTTGCTTGCTCAGCGCCCTTGCTTTTCTTGTTGTTTGGCAGGGTTCCCTTGTCAAGTCTTCTTTAACAAATATATTGGCTTTCTTTGGAAGTTTTTTTTTTAAACAAAGAAAACAAGTGTCGATCTTGTTGTGCCAATTGAGTTGCTTCTGCAAGTTGTGGCGCGCAAAGGCAGTCCCTGATTGGAGCAAATAAAGCACACTCATGGTTTCTTAGTTGGATTCCTTATTTGCGGTTTGTGAAGAATGAATCCCAAGATGATTGGATAAAGGCCACCTCTCAGCTGGACTTGCAGGTGAGTGTGGGGCCAGTCAAACTTTCTGAATGAAAGCTGGGAACTGAAGTGACTTGTCGTGGTTCCGGGTTTGCTTGCTCTCATTGCAGACGACCTCAGCAACCCAGCGCTTCCAGTTACTACTTGTAGGTAACCGGAAAAAATCAACAAAGACATCATGGAAAGCCTGGAGGTAAGACACCCTGGTTACCTATGGTGGCTAACAAGAAACACTGGGCAAGGTATGGCCAGAGAAGTCATGGATGGTTACAACATCTCTCCGCCAGGCGCCAGGTGCGAATGAAGCCCGATTTGCATGGTTGATGAAGCGCCTAACCGGTACTGTTTCATGCGTCCGCATCATGTTGCCACCAGTACAAAAAAACCAAGCGTGGAAAGTCTCACGCCCTTTTGGAAGGCTACTCTTCTCTTACGGAAAGTTAGAAGGGCACGCGGGCGTTTGCTGGTGGCGAGGTGGCCCACTTTGTGGTAAGGTCACATTTTCTGATCGCCCAACATCACGGAGCTGACTGTTCCATTCCCCAACAACTAGGAAGGACGTTTGATTCTCCATTGAAACATCCCACCCTGCCAGCAAATACTTGAAAGGCTACTTTCATCACGAAACAGAGTTTCCCAAAGCAAGACACCATCTTCCAATGTTTTGTGGTTGTGCATCTCCTCCAAGTGGTTGGCATCATGTCCTACCACCCGAGGCTTCTGCGCGGCGCTTTGCCGATGGACCTGAGCTCTTGGATCGAGCAGGAGTTGCAAAGTGGGAAGGGGAGGGTGTCTTTCTGCGGAGTGGACACAACCAGTGGTTCACCCTGGAAGGTCGGAAGGGTCGGCGAGACCCGAAAAGTTCTGAAATGAGTGTCCCCAACTTCAGGAAGTGGTTCAAAGAATTGTTCTAAAGGTCCTTGCAAGGAGTGTAGTACACGGTGACCGTCGGTGTTGGTTGATGAACAGCCACCATGTGGGTAAGCCGGTTTGAAGAGCTTGCTCAGGAGCACAACGGCGGTCTTCTGCGCCTGGTGCACCAGGGCGCCTGCCTGAAGGCAGGGGGGCGGAGGCTCAGCATGGGGTTTCGGTCAAACCGGGGATTCGTTCTGGGAACCGTCAGGAACTGTGATGGTATTGTTTTTCATAGGTGTCTTTTGTAGGGTTGTTGTTCATAGGCGTTCTAGGCTAGTTTGGTTAGGAATAGATGGCACAGGTTGGTTCACTGGGTAACCAGGCAAGTGGTGAGTCAGTGATGGTGACCCCCTCCCCACCCTCCCGTTCTCCGAGGAAGGCATCTGCCAGCCGGAAGCTAGCAAAGGGAGGGACCATTGAAATTATTTCGAAACATTGGACATGAGGCACACCTAACCGGCGCGGTGGCGCCCTGGAATCTTTCGACTTTTTGAGTTGCTTTCCTGGCGAAGATGTTTCCTTTCCCGCCGAGCATTCAGCATTCAGCTCAGGAGGCAGACCCGATGATTGAATACAGGTCTCGCTGTTGTTCTGTTTGCAACACATCAGGTAGCAGCTGCGCTTTGATCTCCCAACAGTGCATTGTTGGCAGGCTTCACATAAGAGCAACTGGCGGGCTACTCAAAGTGCAACATTTTTGAAGTCAGGTGCACCTAGAGGACAGTGTCTGAACAACAACAAAAAATCGTGCCTTGCAATATTGGAAGTCGCTTGCCCAAGGCCAAGTCCTACCTGGATGTAACTTTGATTATAGTGCAGATTGAACAACTAGTCTTTCTTCTCTCGTTTGGGCAAGTCAAACATTGTGTACCGCTTTGAAAGGGTGTTCACATCCTTCCAACACATTCTGCGGAAGTCAACGCTACTGTTTGGATCAGGTGCTAGGGAATGCTTTTGACACGGGAACTGCTCAGCTCTTGCAGGTGATCATCCCTGGCAAGGCAGGGCGGAAGGTTAAATTTTGGGCTGTGCAATAAGTGGCGCCCTTGGGAGTATTGAAACCCTTTACAGTCTTCCCAGCAAGAAGTGACAAGGGGCATCTTTTTAAGAGGATGGCTTCTGTGAGGCGAAACCCTCTTGTGGAATGTCAAAGGATGGTAGTTCATGGCTTTTCGCCCTATCCAGAGTGATTCGACGTGTTCGGGGGCCTTCAGAGAAAACGCGGACGTTGGTTCGCAGCTGGGCGGCTGGTACGCTTGTTTAGTGAGGTGCCGGCCAATTGAGCCCTTCCTCTGGGCAAGCTACTATATATAGTAGGAAAAACCTGGGATTGCTTTGCTGCAAGTTGCACATCATGGCTTTTTCTGGTTGTCAGCTATAGTGACAACTACCTGCGTTGGGGCATGTTATGGCTGGCGCCTCTTCTGACGAGGTGTTTTTTCGACTTGAAGGAACGTTGAATGGACGATGATTCCTAGGGCTGGCAACACAAGTCAGGTTCCAACACATGTCCCACCCCTTGGCAAAGCAAAGCAGCATCAAACGCATACGCGGGAGGTGACTCTTGTAGTGACCAGCCAGTTGTCACTTGGAATGGGAATAAATCCAAATGAGCAGAGCAATTTGTCCATGCCAATTTTGGTCTTATTTTGTTTGGGCTGGGTTGGCGTGGGGGGCAAGGGGGTGGTTTAACAAACAACAGCCGCTTTAAGGAGAACCAATGCAACGTGACAGGAGGTTCCTTGTTGGGGGTTTAAGAGAAAGGCGTTAAAGAGACCCCACCAATCTTGAGAGTATCCATATTCTTGTTGGAGAGGGAGCCCGGGTTTGCTGGCCGCACGTCAGGAGCATGTGGGCTCTCAGGAGATCCAGGCAGGATTCCGGTGGTCCTGGGATGGGTGGTGTGCACCATTTTGTGGGTTCCGATGGGTTCCACCCTTCAAGGCTTTTTGTTTGGTGGGTCAGGCCCGGAAAGGGTAAACGAGCGCACCAATCTTTGGCCAGCGGTACACTAGGGCTAAAGGATGCTCGCAGGTGTTTTTGGAGCGCAAAAGGATCAATCCTGCAGCGCATCAATCTTTGGCCAGCGCAGCAAGCTTTGGCCGGACAGGGTAAACGAATAGCTCGAGCGTTGGAGTTGGTAATCTCCCTGGCCTTGGGCGACCCAGTGGGCAGCTAGGCCGAATGGCTTGCCTGAAACAGTTCAGGAGCTCGCTGCTTCCATCACGGGGCGGTGCGTGATCCTTGGGGCCTCTGCTGGCGGTTTGCAGCTCGGAAATTATGTTGCGGAGCCGCTTTGAGGAGGAGCTGGGGTGTGTTTTTTTGGGGTACCCCTTCGGGATGGTGGAACAGGCAGTTCAAAGGGACTCTGCCCATCATTTTTGGAGGGGTCACATCTTGCAACTATGCCATCAATGCCCTCATTTTTGAGAAAGCTGTTGGCAGAACCGTTTTCAGGGGGGAACCTGTACTATAGCCGAGTGCATCGCATTCCAGCCTTTTCAGCGGGTTCCCTCCCCATTTGCCAGCGTCCCTGAGCATTTGCCAGCGTCGAGCAAGGATGTACTCCCTTGCCAGAAGGCAGAGCCATCAAAACCGATTCGGGCTGAAGGTTGGGGGACAGCCAAAAGATAGGTGTGAAGATCCGTTTGATTCTTTGCATATCTTTGGTTAGACCACTTGTCAGGCTTTGATTCTGATTTGGATCTGTGTCAGTAATGGGGTCTGTTTTGGACATGTTTGTTTCTCTTCTTTTGAATGCCAGGTGTTGATTTTGCCTCAGATGCTCCACCCGCCGGCGCTTTGCGGCCGAGGCTTGCGCTGCAATTGCTGCAGCACTGCGAGCTGGCAGTAAGTTGTGTCGCGGTGAGCCCGGGGCCTCTTGCTCATCAGGACGGACATAGCCCGACTGGGCTTGGGCTCTGTGGGTGGTTTCCCCTAACTTAGACAGGAGACCAACCTGTTGGGGGGTCCCTGATTTTGAGACAATGTGAAGATTGTCCCAGACCTCCATCCTTTGTTCATTAGTTGTCCATCTACTGTACCCGGAAAATCGGTTGTTTTGCCTATGCATCTGCGACTAGCAGGGTTGCGCTTTTGTTTTTTCTGGCTTGCTGTTTTGTTCAATCTGGGGTTCAATTGAAATCACTCACCCACAAAGCGCGTAGTTTTTGGTTGCCATGGCTTGCCTTCCGCCAACTTCTGGCAGAAATATGGGACCTCGTTGTCATACTGGGAGGCCTTGGCCCTCAGAACCGCACCTTCCGCTCGCCGCTGGATGTGGGATCTCTCCCCAAATGGTGTTTTTGCAATGGGGGGTATGAGGCTCGGTCTTGGTACAGGCACATTCGGCATCACTTTCCCGCTGGTACCCCATATGCAGCGGACGTAGTTTCGAAGGACCCTGCCATGAAGCTGAGCATTCGGAAGGGGGCCGACATCTGACGCAGTCCCATGGTGGGTCCCATGAAAGTGACGTGAAGATTTTGCATCGCCCAAAGGAATTGAGAAGTGAAGGCTACTTTGAAACCTCATGCCGACCACCGAGTCGTGTTTTGTTCCGAGAACCCCAAGCGTTCGGGCTGCTTTGTTAGCTGAAATGGTGGTCATGCCGGGCGAAGCCGAGCGAATGGCTGGACAGGACTGGACGGACATGGGCGCCATCTGCGACAAGATGAGGAGGAGTTTGCAGGCAAGGCCTTCTGATCGATCTTCATAATATAGGCCTTGAGGGGAACCAAAACGAAACCAACCCGTTTTGGGGGGGTAGGGTGGGAGCTCCGTTGCTGGTTTTGGGGCGCTCGTTGTTTTTGTTTGCTTCGCACTTGCGGGTTGGTGAAGTTTCCCAATTCCAGCGAGCTATTGAGCAGGGTGTTCACAGAGGATCAAATGAAGCCAGAAGTCAGTTGCACGCAGGTTGACTTGCTTAGACCTCTGTTTTTCCTCGAAGCAGCCGAAAGAGGAGCTGCCAGCTGGGGAGAAACACACACCCAATGCGGCTGACCGACCCCGAGTGCAGTTGTCTTATGTAGCAACCGTGCAAGGTGAAACCACTCAGACAGGAGCGCGTCCCTTGGTTTGGATTTCTTGATTCATTGCCCTCTTTTCGAAGCTTGTGTTCCCCGCCACATCCGCGGCTAATGTCGAGGATCCGAGGAACGCCCGCCATGAAAACAAGAGGTTTCCCAAGATCCTGCGGCTACAGCGCGGCCTTCAGCTTGCTGTGTGTATAATGGTGTATGTCAAAACGAGTGATCCCTTTGAGATCATACGAAATCAACAATGTGGAGATGTTCTTTGTGTTGCAAACCACCACAGCGGACAAGAGCTACAAGCGACGGCAGCTCGATTGTGTGTTTTGGCAGCATTCGCGGTCCAGACGGTCATACTCGTCCTGGTTAGCCCACGGTTCCATTTGCTTTTTGTTTGCTAGGTGAAACTTTGGAGACTCGCCCCGTGCGGTTGGCTTTGAGCAGCCTGATTTGGGGGATCATGTGCCAGTTGAATTGTTCTGGGTTGACACACCCAAGACTTGGTTTTCTAGTGAATATTCTTCCGATTGAGTTCTGGTAGTGCCTGCTACGGGCCTCTCTCGCGCTCAGGGCACGCGGAAGCGCGCAGCAATCTACTGGGCCAAGTGCGACAAAGCAGAGCAGCAAGTCACCCAGACCCTCGCCGGCCAAAGCGTGGAGTTCTTGCGGATGGAGAAAGGCAGGTGTCGGCGCTTGCCGGTCGCCCGATTCACATCGCCAGATGAGATGTTCACCCCTTCGCTGAGATAGGCAGTAGCTATCATGAGGCTTTCCATTGTAAGGGACTATTCCCATTCGAATCGGGGAGGGGGCGGGGTGGTCTTGGTCACTTTTTTGTCATGCCAGGACGAGCAGTTTGAATTCAAGGGCTTGACGTTTTGAAAACAAGAGTCCACCGTACAGATTGCGGTCCCGCGAGCGAAGCCTTTCCAGGGTTCTGACAACCATACTCGCAGAGACAGGCAGCGCAAGCTTTACGGATATTACAAATCGTCAAGCGGCCCTCGTGCGGGTGCGATGCATGATTGAACATCGGCAGTTGATCCTGTCACACATGTGTGTTTACACAAATCGGCAGTTGATCAGGTGTAAGGTGTAGGTATAGTCTTTCCCATGTCCGACGGGGCGGCGGGTGATGTTGGCAGGGCACGTCGGCATGTGGAGCAAGGAGCTCTTTGCGCAGGTGTGTGAGCACCTGGAGGACCGGTCAAGCAAGGGTATCCACCAAGAAGTCGAGGCTTTACACCCAAAGTGGCGGCTTGCCCGTTTTTGGTCTCCCTTTAAAGACACAAAAGAAAGGGTACCCTCAAAAGCAGGTTCGCCCATTTTGGGGGGCGAATTTCGTTGGGACCCATGGACCTCCCAAACCCCAAAACTCGAAATCAAAGCCTGTTCGCATCCGACCGCCCACTTTGAGTGGAGAACCAGCGCTGAACTCTACTGGTTGACTTTGAGCTTGGATCGACCTCATTGTGGATGGACAGGGATGAACCAAATCCACTTTGTACGAGTTGCTAAGGGTTCGTCCCAGTAGGGCGTCCATCCCAGCTGGTGCTTCTGTTTGACAGAAGTACCTGTTTTCCATCAGGGACCCTCTAAATGCAGGAAACACGTCATCACTTTCTGCAGGGTGCGAAGTACATGAAGCGCAAAGGAGGCACAATCAAAGCCCGGGTAGATGAAAGTTAGGGACACACAAATCATAAATAGAGGATACCCGCCTTCTTGATTCTTGAAGCATGGTTCTGGGAGTACGACCATTTTGATTGTGACTCAACTGGCTGCTGCCCGCTTTGCCAGGCGCTCTCTGAGCATCAGGAAGAAGAGTGCCGGCGCTCTGGGCGCGTGGTCCGGCACTGGGAGGACAACGCGCCTGGGCAAATGGGGGTATGGGGCAAAATTAAACCAGGAAACCGCAGGTTTTAGTCCATGTTTTCATTTACCAGGGGTCTATTTTGGGTACACATTTTTGACCCACAGCCGGTTTGTTGTAGGGTCCAGAGTGGTTTGTGTGTGTGTGTGTGATGTGTGTCTGCAGGTGTACCATATAATGGTCGAATCCACTCTAGGACAACTCCGGGATAGGCCGTCATCCTCTTTCGTATCTGCGATTTGTTGGTGTTTGATGGCTTTGGAATGGCCAGTGGTCTTGTTTGGAGGTTGCTTTCCTGTTCTGTTGTTTGGCAGTTGTTGATGGCGTTGTAAATTACGTTGAGATTTCTATGAATTTGCATGTGTTTAGCCATTGGATTTCCATAGTTTTCAAGGTGTTCCAAGATTTTTGCGTGGCATGCTTGTTCTGCTCTGCTCAAAGTCGGGCCTCAGCCACCTCATTTCGGGGGCTGCATTTCGGGATATTTCGGGTGGAATGTCAGGGTTCCAAAAAGGAAGCCACACGAACAAATAGCCATGTTGACAAGATCCCCGTTAAACTGCAAGAAGGAGGGTGCCATTTCAGCCCGCTTGCTTGACAAGGCTTCCTGATAAGGGGCCTTGTCGTGCGGCCTTCAAGGTGTCCGGCCAGATCATGGACGGCAAGATGCGGCTCTATCACTTCTGCTGCTTTGGCCGGAGCAAGGCGGGGCTGGGGCTGGGTATCGATCGAGCGTGCCTGGTGTGTCCTCCTTTCAGGGGACCGCTCTAGGATGGATTTGAACGCCAAAGGGGACCACCACTATTTTAGGGGTTCCCCAAGAGACACATCCATTTCTAGGTATCTACCAAGGCCCTGCAACTTTTAGAAGTGTAACTTGGTGAGCTACAATTGCACAGATACCTGTCATGTCTTGCCTTCATGAGTTGTCATACTTGCCAGGTGGAGCTATCATGTGTCCCAATTGCGTCTTGCTGGCAGTGGGTGACTTGCCAGGTTACGTTTTGCACCAATCAAGCATGGCATGACTCCATTGCCTTGAATTTAAGTTGAGAAAGATGACCCAGATGACCCATGCGTTGCCTTGTTTGTGAAGGTGGGTGCGTCTTTTGTTGGGTTACCCTTTCACCTTGGTTTAAAGGGAAGCCACCAGGTAAACAGTAGGATTTGGGGTCCGGTGCTTTCTGGGCAGTCCGGGCAAAAAAGGCTTGACGCTCCATTTGGCCCTTGCTTTTCCCAAAGCAGCGAGTCCGCTCCGAGACTTAAACGTGCAAGTCGAACGAGGGGTTCACAAACATAGGGGTTTCTTGGAGCCTTACTGGCAAATGTATGAGTTTCGGTTGTGGGAGAGGGCTCTGACTTTTTGATTGCTTTCCTTTTTGTAGACTCCAAGACTCCCCCAGCTAGAAATTGCCCTTCTGGGACGATCGCGGCAGCATTGGGGTCATTGGGCCGGTCAGTGTTCGTACCAGTTCTTTAATCCTTCGGACTAAAGCGACCGATCTTTTCCCTGTTTGTCAAATTGGGGAACCTGAGACTGTACACTTCGGACCCACAAGGAGCACCAGTCGGGGGTTGTTCTGTTTTCGCAATGTATTGCCAAACCGTTCCTTTTATGGGGATAGTGTATGGCATGGTCCCACTGATAAATTCCGAACTTAGCGTATGACAACGACTAAACGCATTGGCAGTTGAGTTGCCACAGTCGGCCTGACCTCAGCAAGATGATCGCTGGATCTTGGGAAGACAGAGCACAAAATGTGCTGGCAAACCTAGGATCACGTGAGCTAAGGTTCTTGGGAAAACCAACCTGGACAAGAGCATACTTTTTGGCAACTGTACCGTAGTCTCGGAGTGCGAGTGAGTCGGAACGAAGGTCGCTCAAGTGCAGTCTGCGGGGACTGAAGTTAGTGCGTCTGGCTTTCAGCAATTTCTTTGGCTAGCCAAAGAATCAGTAGGCTCATGGCGAAATATGTTGGTTCCCTCAGCCATTTGGGCTTCCTCAACAAGTGGTAGTACTGGCAATACTAGATGTTGTATTTGCAATACACATGCAATAATTACCAAGGGGAAGTGTTCGAAGGCCGCACAAAACTAGACAGCGTGCCACTTCTAATCAGTCCGAGCGCCGAATTCGGAGGGGCGAGAGTCTTGCTGGTGCTGAGTCGGGAATGTGGGAATGCACCGTTGTGGGATTCCCTGAGATAGAAAACACCAGCAGTGGAATGCACGATTCCCTTGAAGGAATTATTCCACCAGTGCAGTGGAATGCACCTAGGGGGTTTTCTTAAAGGAAGCCAGTGGCGCGGTGTCTGTGGGCGCGGAGTTGGCGTGGAGTTGCCGCGCTCCGTTGCTCAGATGCCGGACGTGGGCTCGGAGGTGTGCTTCACCGCGCTGGGCTCCAAGGCCTTCGAGGTGGAGCCGGAGGCGGGGGGGGCGAGGGGGGGGGCGGACATCGCTTGCGGTGTGCGGCGAGAAACACGGGCGTGGCGAGTGCATGTGTTTTGGTTGGGGGCAAGAAGCTGAGAGCAAGGCCGCAAGAGCTTGGAAGTCGTGTGCTGCCTCTCAGATTGTGTGCCACCGCTTACTGTGTAGACATGCTGGGTGTGTTTGTGTGTGTGTGTGTTCTTTAGCTAGGCAGTTTGTGGACCGCCTGCACTGTAGACATGCTGGATGCCTGGTCTTTATCTTCTGTGGCCACACAGATCGGCTACGACGCAGGGAGGTTGAATGCTTGTTCTTTATCTCGTTTGGCATTTCAGAATTTGCATGCTGGATGCTTGTTCTATATTTGCTAGCTCCGAATTGTACCCCGGCGGTCGTCTACAATGTGGACATGCTTGTTCTATGTCTGCTGTGTCTCCTGGTCTACATCTGCTGCGGCTGCTCAGAAACCGCCTGCAATTCACACATGCTGGACGCTTGTTCTTTTATTTGCTGTGGACCACCTGTGCCATAGACATACTGGATGCTTTGTCCTGTTCTGCATTTGCTGCGGCATCCCCTCCTACGATGTAGACATGCTTGGATGCTTGTTCTTTGTCTGCTGTGGCCTCTGAGGGGTTGTACCCTGGCAACCTCCTACAATGTAGAGACGCTGGTCCGCCTACAATGCAGACGTGCAGTTTGATGTGTCGGGAAGATGCGAAGCTGGGGTCCACTGAAACGATCTCACAGTTTGGGGTTAACGAAAGAGGACCAGAAATCTCCGCGTTGGAGTAAAAGAGCCACTAGTCAAGCAAGCCTCGCGTAGGCGCATTTCTTTCCTACTTGGAGGGCTTGCTCAGACGGCACAGCATCTGCCCAATGCCCCCCGAAACAGCCAAAGGGAGGAATGGGCGCTTTGAGCCCCACGCGCTTGCATTGGTTCTGCTTAGGATCCCCCTTGCCACCAAACACAATGACTTAGCCTTTGCCAGGACATTCGCCAGCCCTGCCCCCCTGGCCTCGACACTCCAGCCGGCCACATGCCTCCTAAAGCGAATGTTCATGCAACTGATTCTGTGCTCCGTCAGCCGCCCTTCCCCGAGCCAACCGATGGTTTTGGTTGAGAGTCCAGAAGCGTCTCAGCGACCTTCGTTGCGCGCCAGGACGCGCCGCAGCAGCGGACGTTCTGCCCGGACCTGGTGTGGGCGCGGAACTTGTTCCGCCGCCACGCATGCCGCTCGCGAGAGGAGCGCCCGTTGCGTCAGTCCCCCTCCAGTGATGCGCCAAAAGGAGATGATGACGTGGGTTGGCCTCACGCCAGACTTGAACGACCCGCATTTTGTGGCTTTGGGTACTGACCGCTTGTAAGAGCAAAATGACACGTTTGGTCGCCAGGGCATGATTTGTTTGACAGTCGCAGCCAACCGCATAATGGAGAGGTCGGAAATGGCCACCTTTCTTTCTTGAAAGGCCCAAAACACTAAATTTCAGATCCAAAAGGCCCCATTTCAAGATCAACCAACCCAACGCGTGGCCACTGGGCAAGTAAGACGAGATGGATAAATTGTTTGGTTTTTTCAGACTGCGCGTCTCACCACAAGACCAGCTCTGGCAGTTTTCCGAACATTGGTGCATCACCGACCCAGCAAAACCTTGGATAAACAAAATCCCTGGAGATGAGGGTTGCATTCTCCATTCTAAACCAGAGGAAGCCATGTGTCGATTCTGAGACGCAATTGTGTCATTGCGGTTTCACTTGAGGGCTGGTGTTTTGTTGCCTGGGAGAAGCCCATCGCGCTTAAGAACAAAGCCTTTGGTCTGCGCACATGTCTGAGATGGCGAGGGTTCTGGCAAGTTGCTGGACTTGTTTTCTGCGGGATTGAGGCATGTCTACTCAAAGCGATTTGACCTTTGTTGCTAAGGGTCCACCTCCAGCAGAGGATGCTTTATGTTGAGATACAGCCAAGATCAGCCAAGTGTTTACCGCAAGTTTTACAAACCATTCGTCTTTGGTGCCAGGATTCAAAGGCGCGTAGCTATTTGGGGCTGGAAGTGATGGATTTCTAGCTCCAGAAATGGGTCGCGCTTGTCAAGCCCTGCGTCCATCTGGGTCAGAGGCAGATTGCGGACGCTGCCCCGCGTCATTTCCTTGCAAAAAAGGTAGGTATCAGTTAAGAAGTAGGAGGCCGCCAAAATGCTGATTTTCAGTGGGGTTTACCTTCCAAACTCTCCAGGGGGCCCCCGAGCTTACTGGCTACCCAAGTTCAGAGTTGTTTTTTCCAGCCGCGGGCTTTCCATACAGAATCGATAGACATAATCTGTGTGGAGTAGACCCCAGTTCTCCCCTGCGCCGTTGACACGAGGAGCTGTTCACGCACAGCTCGATGCTTGGCGGTCGAGACCCCCTTTGCCAAGGCACTGGGAAGTACAGCTGCCTGGCAAAGCGCATGATGCCGAATCGATTTTAGATATATGGCGTGCCCAAATAAGCCGATGATTGTACTGGTGCCCAGTCATTCCCCTCTTTGCACGCATAATACCAAGGCAAGGATGGAATACACACCCCTCTTCCGACACGGAGGTTTCTCAAAATCGCGGACGAATGGTGACAAGCCGCCACATTGCATCATCTAAGGCTTTCCAGACAACAAAAACACAAGGGGCGAGCTGGCGCTTGCGATGCAGGCAGCGACGGGGCCGCCCCACATTTTGCCAAGGGTTGCCAGTACTGTGGGTGGACAAAATTGCCAATGCATTCCTAATTTACCGGGCCACGCCAAGTGGCGGATTTCCTTTCGTGAAGGTTGATTTCCTCGTGGCTTTTTCTATCACGATCCAAAGAAGAGATTCTGATATGTTTTCACGTCGGCGTTGCCTTGTGAAGGCAAGACAATGTTGACTAGGGCAACAGCCAGGCAATCTTCGAGTGGGCAACTTTTGTCTCCCACTCCATGTCTATAGACAAGTTACGCTCAGCAAAGCCTAGGAATTTGCATACGGCAACCTATTGAGAGCGATGGGCGCAACCCGGTGAAATGCCAGTCTGCCGCTTTTGGGGTACTTGCGCAGAAAGCAAAGTTTTTTTCCTGCGGCTTGGCCACAGGCAAATAATTGGGGGCCATTGGCAAAATAGCTCAGGTGGAGAATTCGACAGCGTTTGTCGTGCCAAACCGGTTCCGGGACACCTGCCGGCGGCTTTCCTTGCCAAGGCAAAGCAGACTCGAGCAAATGGCTCGCAATATGAGATCCCGCAAGATGATGACCTTGGTCGCTGAGCGCGAAATCCACTTTCTTTAGCAGCAGCCACAGCGTACTACAGCTCCCGAGCATTTTGTGTGCCCAGTGCTTCCCCTTTCAGACTCAGCCAAGGTGCCGAGCTTCCCATGCCGAAGCTTCAATCTCCCTCAGTAGCTCTTAACATAATTACCAAGTCCAGGTTTCTCAGAACAGGATCCCCTAACATGGTGGGTTTCTTTTCGGTGTCAGACTCTTTTGAAACATATCCAAACATTTCACTGTAACCAGCCTGCACCGGGGCCGTTTTTTTCTCCTTCCCCGGGTGTCCTTTGGGCATCCCCTTGCTCGCCAACCCCTTGGCAGCAACGAATCCTTGCGAGGCCTTCCACAAGGACGCGGAGTCCGGCGGCGCCAAGCTGTACCTTTGCGAGCACCCCAGCCCGGTCTACGCCTTCTGCGAGGATCGAAATCTGCACCGAGCAGCAAACACGACACGGCGTCCAATTCATTGCCGACCGCCAACACTAAGTTTCCCCCAAATTTTGGGTCCCCGGTCTCTGCCCTATCGCCCTATCGCCCAAAAGGGATTGGTTCCAGCTGCCCGGGGCTATTTTCTTGGATCCTTTGCTATCCACTGCCAACTTCGGGGGTTGCATCCTTCTAAAGGTCCGCTAATGCTTGCAGAATTCTAGGCAAATGACGATTGGTGAGATATCAACGCACAAACCATGCAACCTTGGCTGACCTTCTGAGGAACCTATTCTACTTCTGTGCTGGATCATCTTTGTAGTTGGGCAAGGTGCGGCCCAGTGGATTCAGGAACTGTCGGGACCTGAAACCGGCATGCGCCCAAAGAGCTTACGCTGTTTCCACACTCTAGCGTGCAACTCGGGCTTACTCAAGCTCTCTTCGGGGGCGCAGTCGGCCGTTGCAGCATTGCAAGGACCTGGACGTGATCGCCCCTTTGGAAAAGGGGTTACCATCCTTGATGCGGACCCGTGCCGGCGGACACGACTGGGAGCCCCTTGCCAGAACGCTAAAGCAAAGCTGCGCAATTGGGAGCACCAAATCTGCGGAGCGGCCGGACCGCCATTGCGTGGGTTTGTTTTCTTGGTAGGGCTTTCGGTATAGATCTCAATTTTGCTCGTCTCTTTTTTGGGGGGGGGAGGCGCTTTTTTTGGGGGAACCAAAGACTGCAGGACCAACGAAGCTGATCGGTTGAGCATGTGAACGTTCTAAAACCCTGCACTTGAAAGTAGTGCGCGGGAGGAAATATCGTTTTCAAGATGTTGGCTGTTTCCCAGGTCGCGGAAGCGCCGCGCAAGGTGCGCGGAAGGGGTTTCTCAATTTATGTACTCGCGGAAGCTTTGCGGAAGGGATACAAGTCAATCACGAAAGCAAGAAATTGTAGTTTTCCTTCACGCGCGGAAGCGAAAACGAACTTCCATCCCGTTTCTCAATCCGCAGAAGCGACGCGGAAGCGATTCCCTCGTCAAACCTCTTGCGGAAGGAACCTTTTACGCCGCGCAAGCTCCGCGGAAGCCTTCGCGGAAGGGATTTGATATTTCTCTTCGGGCGCAGAACCCTGCTCATGTGTCGTGCGAGTATGTCTCGGGTTGAGGAGAACGACGTGCGACATGTGTCTCAACTGGGGGCTGCCAACAAGTGTTTGAGCGGATGGTTTCCAGTCGGGTCTTCTTCGAAGGCCGATCTGTGGGCATGCCGGAGGCTGATTGATCATCATCTCACCCAGAGCGTGGATGCCCCGGTGTTGGAGTGTCAAAACACTGGAAGTCAGTCAAAGCATGAAGGTGCCCCTCCTTCATTTCGATATCCGCCGAGAAGTTATCCCCAAAGGCCGAAATTTCAGCATCTGGAACTCCAAGGTTTAAGCTCTGAATAACAAGGCCCCTTTTAAATTATTGCAGTTGTCGAGGGGAGGGAATCGAACAAGTCTTCTTTCATCAGGCACATTGCTCAGGCAATGGGTGTTAGCTTTGTCCTCTTTAAACTGCAAGAAAGCCAAGAGGGAAAGGCATTCGAGAGCTGGAGTTTATTTTGCAATGCGTAATGACTACCATTTCAGGGGAGATGACCAATTCACGGTCGTCCTGATGCTTCATTTCAGGTTTGTTCTTTTGCGATGGGAACCTAGACATAAATCAACTGGGAACCCTGAGCTCTGCTGCTCAGCAAGCTAGTTCACCAGCTTCTTGCAAGTTGCAGAACCAATTTCAAGAAGGAAGCCTGGGACAACGGCTTCGCAGACTGTTCAAAAGTCAACCCCGAACCCGTTTGCCAGATGGTGTTTCTCTTGCTGTAACAAGTGGCATTCCACTTCGGATTTCTTAAAGGTGCTGGGATGAGCTGGTTTGCCTGCGCAGAGGCTGCTGAAGTGGAGGGCCACCGCTCTGCACCGCATCTTCCCGCACTTGCCGGAGGACGGTGTGGCAGCTGAGTGCGAGCGCTAAAAAGAGCACCGCATGCTGTTGGGGATATCACCTGAGCCAATTGTCGTCTTCTCAAAAGTGCGAGTTTTGCTTGCACGGAGTTGTTTCCTTTCCGCTGAACAGAGAACACCTGGGCGTTTCCTCAGGAGATGCGGTGTGTGGTGTTCTCGGCCTCCGGGTTCTACCGCGGCTGCGAACAGTTCAAGGAGTCCTACCACCTGGTGTGGCCGCTCGGACTTAGTTGCTTTGCCGACCGCCAGCTCTAGTAAGACTTTGTCCACCAGCCGATACACAAGCGGGACGCGATTGAGCGCTTGTTTTTTGTTGCCTTCCTCTTTGCAGGGCCCCAGTCCATTTTGGTGCAAGGCGACTAAGACACTAAGAGCAACCCTGTTACATATATGTGGAAAGGTCTGGTCAAAATTAAGCCACCAGGGTTCCAGGTGAGTTCCATTTTGGGTACCTATTTTTGACCCACAGCCATTTTTGTGCTGGGCGCCCTACTCAGCTGGATTGCGCGTGGCCCCACGTGCGCAAGGCCGAAGCTCTTGGTCACAAAGGAGACGGCCAAGCAGATCCGCGAACACACCCTGGACACCTTTGAGGAGCTCACGGCCATCCACAACCACCCGGTGGCGCAACTGCTACAGACTGCGCAGCAGTACGACGAGTCCAACAGCTGGCCCAGGAGCTGTTGGTGCTGTTCTGGGGTTCTGGGGGTGAACTGTGCGCAAGCCACGGAGCTAAAACGTGCTGGTGAGTGAAGCATGGATAGCAATCATGCTGGAAAAAGGGTCGCTTGGGTGTCCCAGGCACCTGCCCATCGTGCTTTGAGAGCTTTTGATTTTGCGCTGCGCAAGTCCCGGTAATTCCCTCATGCGCTGATGTGGTAGAGTAGTAGGATGTGTCTTCTACTTGGCACCGCCGGTTGAAAGCGCGGAGGGTTCCTTGAGAGAATCAACGTTGCCAGTCTGAGCAGCTGGTTCCTGGCGCAGATTTGCCTGCCACTTTCCACGAAAAACATTGCCAGGATCTTCGATGCCACGACAACCCGGCCAAGCATAGGCCTGCGAATGGCCTACTCGGACAAGCGGTCCGTTGAGCCGGGCACGAAGGCCGAAACAGCTCACAAGGTGTTCTTCGACGAGAACCGCCCGGTGCCTGGGCTGATTACAATGGACCCTTGACCAAAACGCTTGGCTTGCTTCGAAGGTGTCCAAAACAACGTTGCCCGCGAAAAGCGCAAACGAATTCTCAAAGCAGAAAGGGGGGGACATGTTGCATTTTGATTGGACTGTCTGTTGCCCGTCTTGGGCGGTTTCGAGAAGGAAAAAAACATCGTTATGATGAGGGGTCCTTAGGTGGTGGATATCAATTGGGCCCCTGCTCCGATTGTAAAATGTGTTGATGTTTTTATTCTGGGAAGACCAATCCAAACACACCAAAAAACGTTCTGGCCCTGAGGATTCTGAGCGTTTTTGTTCAGCTTTCTACTTTTCCAGATTGTTTGGAGCCCACCTGAAGTCCTCCCTGGATTGTTGTGGCCTTCCTTTGCCCAGACAAAGTTTCCACCCGCCGCTCTTTGGAGCAACCTTGGTGCGATGCCTCATGTTTTTCAAGCGCCGTTCCTCCACCTCCCTTTAGGTTGCTCGTTGGTTTGAAGGCATCTCCTTTTTGTTGGGGATTATTTTGGGGTAGTTTTTCAGGAACTGCCAGGAACACCCACTTGGGGTTCCCAAATTTTAAGGCACACCGGCGCGAACTTTAGCCTTCAGGTGCTCCCAGTGGCCGAGCTGGAGTTCGAGTTCTCGAGCGGAGAGTGCAGCAGAGCAGTGGTCGTTGCGACCAACGAGGAGGGGCAGGATGCCTAACGAAATGGAGGAGTTCCCTCACAACTTTTAGTGGGAGGCCCTCTGGTGGACATCGTTCATCTCTGCCGATCGGAGGGTGTTCCCAATTCAAGTTCAATGACAAATGATGACCACCAATGTCTGCGGGTGTTTTCTTTGGATGGTACAGTTTTCACCCTGAAAGCGACCGAAGTTGTGTCTAATGTTAACACCCTACGCACCTGCATGTTTGGGTTCCCAAGCTGAACTCATACGCGGGTGTCCTTGTTTGAGGGTGTCAATTTTTTGGATGGTGTTGAGCTTCAACTAAAGGAACAACCACCGTTTTGGGGGCCCTCGATGTTGAGGCACACCGACGCACCTGTTCAATCTTATGCCGGTTACCTTTCCTGGTTTTCCCTTTCCAGCTGTGGGCCCAGGTCTGGCCTAGTTAACTGGTGTGTGTTCCTTGCAAGAGGTTGGCCCGCACTACTTGGAGACGCTACGGATGCCTCCGAGGTTCCTCTTCTTTTTTGGCCTCGCTTGGTTTCCTCTGACCACCCTGTTTTCATGATCCTTTTGGGGCTATGTGTGTGTGTGTGTGTGTGAATTCGTGTGTCACGCGATGATGCCCGGCATCATTAATTCTCAATTCTGGCGCAACTTGGAGGGTTTTGGTGAGAAAGTTCATGTTTGTATGTGTCGCGAAGAGCCACACGAAAAGTTTGATTTGGAGTGGCTCTACCTGACGCAAGCTTGTGAAACTTGTGGGCGGCGGCTTTGTGACAACAAACAGTTGTCTATTGGCTTGGTCATGTTGAATAGGTGCTGCGTTTGGGAACTGACTGAACTGATGGTTGCAGAGATGGTGCAGACAACGGAGGCGGGCTGAGATGGAGATGGCGCGAATCCCAACAACCATTTTGAGGCAAACCCTGCAAACGAGGATCTTCTGCAATTCGCCATTGGCCTTGCTTTACGCTCCAATTGCTCTTTGTCTTCCTGTTTGCAGTGGAGGAGCCAAACAACGGCTGGTATGCTTATGAAGGTGGAGCGGCCTCGAAAGGATACATTTTGCTTGCATTCATGTCTGAACGCAGTCATTGTTTGTTTTGGCGAGTTCGCGCACTGAAATGGCAACTCGCCGAACACGGCTTAGACTCAAACAACTGCAACAGAATCGCGGACGGAGCTTTTAAGCAAGCCCCTCACCTTCAGCTGGATGTTCACCCATTTAATGGGTATGACAATGTTTTGGGTACGGTTTTGGGGTTGCTTGAAAGGGAATCCAAAACAAAACACCAGGTCCCCCAACAGCCAAAGCATAAAAAAACCGTATGTAACTTTTCGTCAAGAGGAACGAGCCCCGATTGTCCGCTTCACTCTGGTTGGTGTGGCGCGCAGGAAAAGCAGCCCTGGGAGTGGGCCCTCCGGGGCATGGTCCGGCGGGAGGAGGGCCAGCCCGTGAGCAGCCTGGCCGGAGATGTCTTGGCAAATGAGCGTTTGAAGTTTGAACCAAGTGTCATTCGAGGACGGGGTTTTGTGAGTACCCGTTTGGAAAACGCAACGCTTGTCCATAGATTGTACCTTCGCCGTAGGTCGCAGTGGAAGCCCTTCGTGTGCGGAACCCTTAATAACCTTGAAAGCGGCCGTAAACCAACTGCAACAAGGAAACGCACGACCGTGAGCAAAGCTGACTTGTGGAAGTTCAACGTTTGAGTGCGAAGCGCAATTTTTCATAGAATGGCCTCATACAGCTCTGCATTGAGATTTCCTGGGGGCGGACAGAGCGTATCGTAAGCCTGAAGTATGGCAAAGAAACAGTTGCCATGCCATGTGTTCCCCAGACGCAACGAGCGATCCCGCCTCACAACCAAAGTTCGGACAGCCCCTTACTAGAATTGTGATTTGTGCAAGGAACAAGCTGACAGAAACCTAAAGCAATTCTTTGTCAAACCGCCTTGAGCTAACTACACTTCGTTGCAAGTATCTCGTCGAAGTATGGTGACCTCACAGAGAAATTCCAAGCCAAAAAACCTTGCGAGATTCGAGGATCAGGCTACAGTGGCATCACCTCACACGCCAAAACCACATACATTAGCTGTTGCAGGGTAAGCCGGACATTGCATGCCTTCGGGGGCGTACGCTGCGCTTAGGCGCTCGCCCCGCTAAGCGCCCACGGCGGCAGCCTACGCCGCCACGGAAGCCCTGGCGCGGACCCGGCAGCCACCACCAGCCTCCGGGCGGCGGCGGCGGATGGGGCGGTGGCGGCGGCGGATGGGGCGGCGGCTGGGGCGGCGGACGTCAGTCTGGCTGGGGTAAAGGCCACAAAGGCGGCAAAGGCCCAAAAGGCGGCAAGGGCAAGGGTGGACCTCAGCCGCAAGGCTGGAATCATGTGTTTGATGCCGAACTCGGATGCTGATGTTGTTTGTGCATGTGCTCTGAAGATAGTGGAGTAGAATATGCAATCGTGCACTGTGGCCTGTGTATTCGGAGATATCGAGTTGCTGAAAGTCACCCACGTGGCGTAGCCCTGCCGGCGTTGCTGTTGATTGGTGCGCGTGCTTATTGTGCATTTACAGCTAGGGCGACAGGTGCGCGCGGTGCAATTTGCCTGCTGCAGCGAGCCTACATGCGAAGTATCCGATTCCCACTTTCAGGTTGTTTCCGAAATAATCGCCCCTTAAACTGTTTGTTTTCATTTTAATCGCCTTCGGATGTTTCTTTTCGAACGCTGCAAAAAATGGCTTGGAGCGGCCTCTTAATGTTCGGGTTTTCCCCCGCTTGTGCACCTCCACTTTCTGACGCGAATGCCACGATGCTGACCTGTTGTTGATTGTTCGGCCACAATGAGTCCAAAGGGATTGTCCACAGCCATCCTTTAAGACTCCGTTTGGTTGTTGCAACCTAAGCCAGACACGACCAGTGCGCTTTGGCCAGCGCCAAGCCATGGATCGGAAGATGGTCACGTTTTTGCTGTTCGAGCTACAGGGTCCATCAGATGTTGTTTGTGGTTTCTCTTGAGAAAATACCATTTGGAGTTTGTAAAGGCAATGCTTAAGGCAAGCTTACCCGTACAAACACCCTTCAGATTGAGGATGTCACTTTATGGCCCAGTGTTATGGGATAGTCCGCAGCCGGGAGGACGTGCTCATCCAGCAGTCGAAACGTGATGTGTTTCTCGATGTGTTGGGGGTCCACGTTAATGTAGACGCATTTCCCACGAGAGCATGTCTCTGGGCCCCGTTTTCCTCCCGCCTTGGCATTGTGGGAAGTTGGCCCTTGGCCCATCTTTTGTACTAAGGGTCCCTCCCCTTGAGCCTGAATTGAAGCAAGCAGTCATTGGAATCAACCACTTTCACCGAACAGGCTAGATCCTTCCACCGGCCTGAGTCGGTCTCGTTCCTTCGCAGGTGGCTGGGACGACTGGCGCGACTGGCGCGACTGGGGCGACTGGGGTGACTGGGGTGACAGGTGGGACCTTGGCCCTGAGGACTGCTATGCCAGAGGCTCAGATGCCAGCAGCGGCATGCGCAAGAAGACTCCTGAAACATTGCCTGAGACTTGTCTCGTTTTAGCTGTTTTAGTTGTTTGCGGTTTTTGTCTTGCTTCGGTTCTTCTTCCACAAAGCAAGCAGTTGACTTGGTTTCCTGGGTTCCGGTCTGGCCCAGGAAATGGATGGATTCGCCAGTCAAAGCGGAATCAACGTTAATTTGGGGAGCATGCAAGGAAGACAGAGGACACAATGACAATGGAGCCACAATCAAAACCTAGGAAGGTTCGCAAGGACAGTTCCAATCACGCAGAAATCCGCCCTTTTATTATTTTGTTTTTATTGTTGTTTCGGCAAGAATCCTTCAGTAGTGGGATTTGGTTATGATTGGCCAAGTTTCACATTCTCAGTTTCTACTAGTGCTACCTTTCACTAGGCCAATGAGGTCTAGCATAGTTTTTCACCATACGGTCGTCAGCGATCACACTCTCTAGCTTGTCGTGACGCAACCCAGATGAGACAGTTGTGTTCTTCTTCCAGGCCACAGTTTAGAAAAGGGACCCTTGTCTTGACGCTCGACTCTTGGACTCAACTATTTGGTGGGGCCGGGGGGGGGGGGCAAAGTTTGAACATCCATCTTCATCCATCTTCCAAGATTTGGAGGGGCCTGATCACGTCACCCATATTGCAGGTTGCTTAGGCACAATACTTTTCACATATACACATTGTTACATAATGATAATGTACATACATATATATATATACACATGCTTATTTATAATATATATATATATATATCTATATATATACACGTGTATATATACATATGCATTTATATGTATTATCAAAACTAGGGCCCCCAACTTGATTCTCCCAACCACAAGGGGCAGCCTCTCCCCATTTCTCAGGCGAAGCAGGCTGCGGAGACCTTCTTGAAGCAGACCTTCCCGGAGCCGGAGCCGGCCGCCCAGCCGGCGGCGGCCGAGCCCAAGGTTCAGGAGCAGAGGGGAGTTGATCTGTGAAGTCCTTCTTCGGTTTGTTCAAGCGGGCGAAGTCGCGCGGGTGTGTGAGTGTGTGTGTGTGTGTGTGTGTGTGTGTGTATTTTCGGACTATTGTTTCGTTGGCCAAGTGGTTGTCCTTTCTAAAGGGCCTTTCTTGTGTTGCACCACTTCTTTCAGTGTTTTAAAGATGAACACCAACCGGCTTGGAGAAAAGTCATGCGGTTTGGCCAAGGTGTGGATTTGGGGGAGAACACCAATTGGCAGGCTTTCAGCAGCGAATGCACGAGACATGGATGGCCATGTTGCCACCAACAAGCAAATGAGCCAGCTTGCCAAACATCGAGCCTGAAAGCAGAAAGTGGGAGACTACCCGAATAAACCATGCGGATGATTTGGAGGAAGCAATCACGCCCTGTCAACACCAGCTAGAGCCATGGCGGATATTTGTTCACCATGGGCAATGGCAAGTGAAGACCGGATGGCTGCTGAATCGTGAGATCACCGGTTGCCCCGAAAGGCAGCCAGGCAGCCTGCTCAGCCTATGATCATTGTGATCACTGTTTTTTTTTTTTCATTGTTACCCTCTCACCAATTAACATGGAACCTGAGAGGGCGTCCCTTTCAAAGGAAAGTCTTCCAGGACCCTTCTGTCAGGATCCATGTCAATTGGTGGGAGGGTATTGTATTTTCGAGTTCGCATTTGTTTGTTATAAGGCGACGCATGATGGCGTCCCCTGTTTTCTTGAACGCAGCTTCCAGTTCGTATCAATCAGCTGGGGGATGGCTCCAGGTTTCTTGAAGCTCCTTGGCTCGCTGCGACCTTGGGCTGTCGCATGCCCTGCCCCTTGCAGGAGAAGGAGCTGGACACGTCTCAGAGGCTCAAGTTCGGAGGCTTGTCTCGGCGGCCGGGGGGGGGGTGGGTTAAGACAGGGTTGGGCAAAATGTGTTTCGGCCCCTCCCCTTTGAAAGGGAAACCAACATGATTTCTGTTGATACAGCTGGTTTTACACGTGTTGCCCCTTATTTGCATAGAGGGGCCCAGATCTGCCTGTTGGTTGAGCTTGCGAAGATTCTCGTGTACAGAAAGGGGGCCCGCCTCACTTTTATCTCGAGGAAAGGACACTTTGCAGGGCTTGCATACACGTCCAATACCTACTTTGAGGAGTGTAAAAGCAGCCTTATAATTTTTGTCCACTCTCTTTTCTGTTTGGGGGGGGGAACCTACAATGCCCCAGAGTAGTCTTTCCTTGCGGGAAAGCATGATGGCCCTCTGAAAGTGATAGTGATTTCCTCTTGGAGGTATGCCAACCTGTCCCCGACAACAAAAGAGGCGCCTCTTGGGAACCAAGTTTGGGGCACATGACATGAACATCGTGTAATCGGGGAGCATTTGTAATATTGTTTTGTTGGACCAAATCATGACTCGTGTAGTGTTCAAACCAAGTAATTGCCCTATGTTACGTGATGTTTTCTTCAAATGCCAGCCGATAGGAAACACGTGGATAAGCTGCTTAAAGCCTCACTCATGCAGCGGAATGGACCCCACGACCTTTGGCTGATATGGGTCTGTCTCACAACAAAGAACCCCTGTCGGGCGGTAAATCCACAGGCAATCAACCTGTCTATGCTTGCGCAGGCAGCTTAGAGGCAATCCCAACGGGGCTTGTGACATGACCCATGAGAAAGGTTCCTGTCATATCCCTTATTTTCGGTTGGTGAGTCCTCATATTTCGCCCAGAACTTGTCTTAGGGGCCGTTCTTCTTGAGAAACACCCAAATGGGGAGGACCACTTGATGGATAGATGTTTGTCATTGACATGGGTGTTCATGTCCACTCACCATGTTTGAGGTTGCACCCGAATCAAACATGGAGCCTCTTTGAAGGAATCTCCTGTTCGGGGACCTGTTTTGCTTTCGAGGCAGCTGCGCGGAGTTTGTGAGGGCCGCTCAAGCTGCCGCTGGCCAGAAGTGCCAGTTTCAGCAGCGCCAGGGCAGCAGGGGATGGGAATTAAACCGGGGCCAAAATTTTAAGCCCAGATGGCTGTGGGTCAAAACCAACGGGGGATTGGGATGTTCACTGGGGGTACGGGATTTTCACCCATGGTCAGATGATCATTTGTTGAGGGGTATGATCCAGCAGGGAAACGGGCTTCAATTGTGCGGCCGATGTCCACCCAATCTAGTGGAGCGGGGATGCAATGCTGTAGGCTTATCAAACTACGACTGGAAATCAAGGGCTACTCACGTAAATCCATTGTCATTGGGAGGCATTGGGGGTTTGTCATGACGCTTAGATTTGGGATTTCCGTTTGCCTGAAGCTGTCCAAGTGAAGCAGAAAGGAATGTGCTGGAAATGTCAAAGTTAGTTAGGGCCTCCCATTTTCGGATGAGGTGATCATGTGTGCAAAGGTACATGCAGGGCCCTTTGTAACGTGGACGGAGAAACGGACAAACCCACACTGACTTGGCACCCAGTTGGGATGGGTGATTTGTCCACAGTGGTGTTCCTTTTGGTGTTGACTTTGAAGAGCAGCCCCTCCATGTTTGACTTTCCAATTCAATTTGGAGCAGGAGGTTCACCTACAATCTGAAGAGCAAGGGCTGAGGGAAAGAACCATCACGAGCAGCTTGCAACGCCAGGATGAAGGTCCCTTTTGTAAGGTTCCCTATTTTTGGCCTGCGACTTGTTTTAGTTGCCCAGATCAAACGGAGGCTCGTCCAATTGTCGACATATCGAGGCTGCCCTTGAAATGCTCCGCTGGGTGGAGTTTTTGTTGCAATCAGCAACAGGGGCCATACATCCAGCTTGGGCGATTGCTGCGCTTTCCGCGAAGGATTCGCGCAGCTGGCACGCTTTTGTTGCCCTGATGAATGTTTGGGTTGGCAACTTGGGGGTTCGGTCGGGTAGTTTGTCAACATGGGCCGTTTGAGGCATTGGAGGACACTCAATTGATAGACCATTCTGATCAAGGGCTTGGTACCTCTCTTTTTCATTCTGGTTTCGTCACCCCATCGACGCGTCGCATCTGCCGGGATTTTTTTTTTCCGCCATCCACTTTCAGAAGCTCGGTTTCCGAGGCGCGAGCTGAGCGGCGGCATCCAGGTGTGGGCTCACGGGGTGGGGAATGTGAACTTCTACCCGACGAGCAAGGCGGTGCTGGTGCAGGGCAGGACTGGCACAAGAGCATGCCGTCATAGGTGTGCTTCTAGGTCAACTTGGATCTTAATGTCAACCCCGGATGAATTTAAACCCCTGGTGGATTAATAGGGGGGGTGTCCCCTTTTAGTGGGGGTTCATCACTTTTGGAGGGAACACCCCCCTAATAATGGGACGGGTTTATTAATCCTTGGTCAACATTATTCCATTTACCAGTGCCATCAATTTTCAACAAGGCCACCCATGCATAACCTGGCTTCCTGCAAATACGGACCCATTACCCAGAAAAAGTGGCAATGGTGGCCTCTTGGTTTCCCGATTTTTCCAAAGAGGGTCCACCAAGGCAAGAAGGGTTGGCGCGTCCAATGTCGTGGTCAAAGCACACATCTTCTTTAGAAGGGATGAGGATGGGCCTAGGAAACTTAAACGACCATTGCAGGGTTCTAAGCTTCCTATGACCATGATCCAACACGCTATGGCACAGGTGATGTCTTACACCTCCAGCGGTGCCCTTTTTCCATTTCTCTTTGTTGGAGGGGGTTCCCTTTAGCGTCAATTTGGCAGGAAAGGGCTCCCGTGTTCCCAATGGCCACTGGAGGTCTGGGGTGTAAACCCATCCGGTTGTTTAGTGGGTTTCCTTTTTGATTGGTTTGGCAACAAAACTCTGATCCAAAGCAGGCCTAGGGGTTCGCCTTTCCAACCAGGGCTACTGGGCAACTAGGCATTTACATTGTGATATGAACCTCGAATCACTGCGGACATTACGTGGAGGTGGCAAGTCCCTTTTTGGAGTTGATCCGTTTCATTTGGACTCCTTCAACTGGGACGGTCAGCCTTATACGTCTTCCTCTCTTGGCCCGCTAGGAGTTGGGGGCTGGGAAGATTTGTGCAGTCAAGCAAACAGCTTAAACCTATGTTTGCATAAGGTGCGACAGCCACTGGGCGTATGTAGAGATCGAAAGCACATGGGAACCTACCTGAGGCTCGGTCAAAGCCTCAGGCCCCCGCAGGCTCTCGTCAGGCGTTCACTGACTCTAGCAGACAGGGGGGAAACTGGGCAAAACGAGAAGAAGCGAAACCTGGTTACCTTTGTAGATGTCCGAGAAGCCCAACCTTGGATATGTTTTTGTCGACTGGGCTGCTTTCCTTGCGGTGGTGCGTGTCCAGTCTGACTCATTCAGGCCGGGGGTGTCTCTAGGGGGCATCTTCCCCATTCAGAGATCCCTCTTTCAAAACAAACCAACTGGAGGAAGCGGCTTCCGCAAATGAGAAATTATTGAACAGGCCGGAAAAGGAGCATCCCCTGCAACCGACTCCGAGTTTTTGTCATTTTTGCCATTTGGGCCCCGCAACCGGACAGTGGCTGCAGTAGCTTTGGCCAGATTTTCGTGGCTCAGGAACCTGCAACTGCTGCACCAGCTG